TTTTCGAGTCGAGCTCGAGTATTTGATTTCAAGTCGAGCTCGAGCCGAGCTCGAGCTATTGTATTTTCTTATCGAGTTGAGCTTAAGCCTCATAAATCGAGCTCGAACAACTAAAAAAAATTAATCCTACTTGATAATACCAATACTCCACTCGGCTCGGCTCGTTTGCAGCCCTACCCATGATACACCAATGGTTTTCACTGATCGGCTTAAGATATAAGAAGAATTTTAAAATTAATTTTAGTAAATATTGTTGTAGAAATGTTTGGATTTGATTTGAAAAACAGTTAAATGTGCTAATGAGCGGTGAAAATATATATTGGGACAAACATAGGGTATAATAAAAGTGAGAAATTAGGTGGGGGAAGAGAAAATGGTGGTAAAGCATGTGGAATGTTAGCGCGGCCACGTAGCGTCGTAGCGTGCTGTCCTTCTTCACTCTAAATCTTGTGGAGGCTACACGTGATCTGAGCTACCAGACCGGTTGTGCCAAATATATATATACACACACATACACTAACTAGGTAAATAAAATTCCGCCTCAATCCTTCCTACTTTTTTAGCGGCCAACATACAATTTAGTATGGTGAGCGTTGAAGAGATCCGAAGAGCTCAGAGGGCGGAGGGACCGGCCACCATACTTGCCATCGGCACGGCCACGCCTTGCAACTGTGTCGACCAGAGCACTTACCCCGACTACTATTTCCGGATCACTAATAGCGAGCACATGACGGAGCTCAAGGAGAAATTTAAGCGCATGTGCGAGAAGTCGATGATCAAGAAGCGGTACATGTATCTGACGGAGGAGATCCTGAAGAAGCACCCGGAGATGTGCGAGTACATGGCGCCATCCCTGGACGCCCGGCAGGACATGGTGGTGGCTGAGGTCCCCAAGCTGGGCAAAGAGGCCGCCCAGAAGGCCATCAAGGAGTGGGGCCAGCCCAAGTCCAAGATCACCCACCTTGTCTTCTGCACCACCAGTGGCGTCGACATGCCCGGTGCCGACTACCAGCTCACCAAGCTCCTCGGCCTCCGCCCCTCCGTGCGCCGCCTCATGATGTACCAGCAGGGCTGCTTCGCCGGGGGCACTGTCCTCCGCCTCGCCAAGGACCTCGCAGAGAACAACGCCGGCGCTCGCGTCCTCGTCGTCTGCTCCGAGATCACCGCAGTCACTTTCCGGGGCCCTTCCGACTCCCACCTCGACAGCCTCGTCGGCCAGGCGCTCTTCGGGGACGGCGCCGCGGCCCTCGTCGTTGGGGCGGACCCTGTGGTGAGCGTGGAGCGTCCCCTCTTCCAGCTGGTCTCGGCAGCGCAGACGCTTCTTCCCGACAGCCACGGCGCCATCGACGGACACCTGCGGGAGGTGGGCCTTACGTTCCACCTTCTGAAGGACGTCCCCGGCCTCATCTCAAATAACATCCACAAGATCCTCAAGGAGGCGTTTGAACCCCTCGGGATCTCCGACTGGAACTCAATCTTCTGGATTGCCCACCCGGGGGGCCCGGCCATACTTGACCAGGTGGAGGAGAAGCTTGGGCTCAAGCCAGAGAAGCTGAAGGCCACGAGGCACGTGCTGGGGGAGTACGGGAACATGTCCAGCGCCTGCGTGCACTTCATACTGGACGAGATGAGGAAGGCGTCTGCCAAGGAGGGGATGGGGTCCACGGGGGAGGGGCTCGACTGGGGGGTGCTATTCGGGTTCGGGCCGGGTCTCACCGTGGAGACCCTGGTCCTGCACAGCGTCCCCATCAATTGATCAATTTCAACGCTCCGCCTTAATTTGCCTCTTTTTTCCTTATTTTCTTCATATCATGTTTGACTATTATTATTACTATAATATAATATTGGTACTCTACCTGCACCCTCCTTTTACCTATCCTTTATTTTTCCGTCACTGCTTACCTATTGTGGAACTAGTGTTTTTTTTTTTTCTTTTTT